TATTCGATAGGATTTGATTTTTCTGTCATAATAGCTAAGAAGAATAAGATTTCAATCAGTGTCTGCCAATAGATGCTGACTTAAACTGAGACAGGACTGAATTTAAAAGATAGGAAGGAACGATTGATTTGAAGCTTTCAAATCCCTAAATAATGTGCTTTAGAAACAATATTTTATATTTTATTGCTTTTAGGAAACAAATTTAAAAGTTTGAAATGAGTAATTAATTCAATAAAAATAATTTTGTAGTTAAGCATAGAAAAGCAATCTATTTGATCATATGATTCCTAATGTAAGTCCCAGCACCACTATCAATTGACCATTTTAATTTAGACTTGTATATGATATAAATAGTTTTTAAATGTTTTATGAAATTGTTTCACTACTGCTCAGCTGGCGTGGCTCAGTGGTTGAGCATTGACCTATGAACCAGGAAGTCACAGTTGGATTTCCAGTCAGGGTGCTTGCTCCGGTTGTGCACTCTATCCCCAGTAGGTGGCGTGCAGGAGGCAGCCTATCAATGATTTTCATCAATGATGTTTCTGTCTCTCCCCCTCCCTCTTCCTCTCCCTTTCTCTCTGAAATCAATAAATTGTTTCACTACTAACACAGGGTTCACTTGGGTGATTTCATGAACTTGTAGCACTGCTAATCTGGTACGTGGACCAAACGTCTCTAAGGCACCATTCAATAGTCCTTGCAAAGAGGCATCATTCACATTAGCATACGAAAAGCTCTGAAATCTTAAAGGAAAGAAACCTGTTTACTTGTGTGCAATTGTAAGAGCTCTGATTTCAGGAGCACCAGACTGCTCTTTGATAGTCCGAAAAAACCATGTGGGGGACCAAAGGAGGACATAGCCTTTATTTATGTATTTATTATTTTTTAAAATACATTTTTATTGATTTTTTTTTTTTTTTTACAGAGAGGAAGGGAGAGGGATAGAGAGAAACATCAATGAGAGAGAAACATCAATCAGCTGCATCCCACACCCCCCCCCACTGGGGATGTGCCCGCAATCAAGGTACATGCCCTTGATTGGAATTGAGCCCGGGACCCTTCAGTCCGCAGGCCGAAGCTCTATTCACTGAGCCAAACCGGTTTCGGCTATTTATTTATTTTTAAAGATATTTTTATTGATTTCAAAGAGGAAGGGAGAGGGAGAGAGAGATAAAAAATCAATGATGAGAGAGAATAATGGATTGGCTGCCTGCTGCATGCCCCCTATATTGGAGATCAAGCCTGCAACCTGCGCTTGTGCCCTGACTAGGAATTAAACCTTGATCTCCTGGTTTTATGGTTGGCAAACTGCAGCTCTCGAGCCACATGCTGCTCTTTGGCCCTTTGAGTGTGGCTTTTCCACAAAATACCACGGACTAGTTGAGTCTATTTTGAAGAAGTGGCGTTAGAAGAAGTTTAAGTTTAAAAAAGTTGGCTCTCAAAAGAAATTTCAGTTGTGCTGTTAATATTTGGCTCTGTTGACTAATGAGTTTGCCGACCACTGTCCTGGTTCATAGGTCAACACTCAACCATGGAGCCACGCCGGCAGGCCAGGACATAGCCTTTATGACTTCCACATGGGGAAGATCCAATGGCTGCCTGTTGGGTAAGTTTCCCAACCCTGCCAGGGTCTGGCGGGGGCTTATCTAGCAGAGGGGAGGGGGCGGTGCCATGCTTGGAATGGCTTGAGTGCAGGCCAAGGACATACAGGGTCTGCTGAGACTTGTTGGCTGTCAAGGACGTGGGAAGACACCTGGGTCTGTGCTGCTCTGTTTCTTGTGGCCACTGGCCAGGCAAACAACATTCAACTGACTGGAGGCGGGGTGGGGGACTTGGGCTATATCCTTGCGTGACCCCATACTGGGTTTAACCTAGCATGCCCCAGACATATCTGAACACAGAAGACCCCCCTCCCCCATCCCCATTATAGAAATTCCTAGAAACACTTTGGGGAATGGTCCTTCAAAGAATAGCTGGTCTCAAATAATAATTATATTTGCACGTCAGGGACTATCTCAGTCCATTCACAGCAATGCAGGCTCTGTGTAGCATGCTGGAAGAGGCGAGGAAGGATCCTTGTAGGGACTGAATGTTTGTGCACCCCCAAGTTCACATTTGAAAAATTTTTTTAAAAATATATTTTATTGATTTTTTATAGAGAGGAAGGGAGAGGGATAGAGAGAAAAATCAACAAGAGAGAATCATTGATCAGCTGCCTCTTGCACACCCCTACTGGGGATGTGCCTGCAACCAAGGTACATGCCTTTGACTGGAATCGAACCTGGGACCTTTCAGTCCACAAGCCAACACTCTATCCACTGAGCCAAATCGGTTTCAGCCACATTTGAAATTCTAACTCCCAACGTAACGGTATTTGGCTGTGGGGCCTTTGGAAGATGATTAGTTCATGGGGTGGAGCTCTCGTGAAGGGTTCATACCCTTAGGAAAGAGGCCCTTCAGAGCCCCCCTCACCTTCCACTACATGAAGACACAGTGAGAAGGCAGCCATCTACAAATCAGGCAGCAGGCTCTCACCAGATACTCAGTCTGTGGTTCCTTGGCCTTGGCCTTCCAGCTGCCAGAACTGTGAGAAAGAAATGTCTTGTCTGTGGTATTTTGTCATAGCATTGTGGACTAAGATAAGAGCCTATCAGAATTTTTTTCTGCTCTTGCTTAGAAAGTCATCTTTCTCTTTTTTCTGTTTGGGGGGAAGGGAGGAAAGCAAATGGCCTGTTTGATACTGGCCACCCCGTCCACTATAAGAAGTCACTAATATTATAGTCCTAGCCAGTTTGGCTTGGTGGATTGAGTGTCGGCCTGTGGATTGAAGGGTCTCAGGTTTGATTCTGATCAAGGGCATGTACATTGGTTGCAGGCTTGGTCCCTGGCCCCAGTTGGGGTGTGAGTGAGAAGCAAGCAATTAATGTATTTCTCTCACATTCATGTTTCTATCTCTCCCACTATAAAAACCGATGGGGCAAATCCTCAGGTGAGGATTAACCCCCCCCACACACACACACACAGAAGTCTCTGATAACTGTCAACAGGTTTCCTTTAGCAGCCTTGTATTAATACCAGGACCTGCTATAATCAGTTTTGATTATCCTCCTATATAATAAAAGGCTATTATGCAAATAGAACGGCAGAACAACCGAACAGCTGGTTGCTATAACGTGCGCTGACCACCAAGGGGCATATGTGGAACATGGTGGGCATCGGCAGCAGCAGGATGGTGGAGCAGGTGAGTGGGGGAGCCATACCAAGGTGGGGCTCCCGTCACTGCCATTGGAGCAAGCCTCTGGTGGTTACTGAAAATTCTTTGCTCCCACAAGCCATGGGCCCACCTGGAGCTCAAACCTGCTGCTGGTGCCCGTGGGAACAGTGGCTGGAGAAGAGCTGGCAACAGACAGGGGATGGTGCGGGGGTGTGTGTGTGCAAGACGGGAGGAGCCAGGCAGAACGGATGGGCTGAGACCCGCCCTGTGCTAGGCCGCTAGTAAAAATATAGAGTAGATAAACCACCTAAGATTCTGATTCAGTTGCTGCCTGTCTGACTTCCAGTAAAGTTCTCTCATGATAAATTAGGGGTCATTAAAAACAGGAATTATTTCTATGTCTTTTCTACCACTAACTCGCTGACATGCCTTCTGGCCAGGCACTGTGATGGGGATGCAAACGCAGAAAGAAATGCTCTTTCTTGCATTTGGGAAGACACTTTGCTTTAAATTATTGGAAATACTAAGAGGCCTGATGCATGGATTCATGCACCGGTGGGGTCCCTTGGATTGGCCTGTACCCTCTCACAATCCAGGACCCTTGAGGGATGTCGGACTGCTGGTTTCTGCCAGGCTGAGGGACCCACTGGTGCACGAATCCATGTACTAGGCCTCTAGTATATATATACACTGAGTGGCCAGATTATTATGATCTCTGAACTCATAATAATCTGGCCAGTGTATATCCTATATAATAAAAGGCTAATATGCAAATTGTCCCCTCAACCAGGAGTTCAACGAGCAGGCAGGCTGGCCAACCACCCATGTCCTTCCCCCTGGCCGGGATGACCGACCACCCATGCACGAATTCATGCACTGGGCTTCTAATATATATATGTATGTATACACACACACACACACACACACACAGTGGCCAGATTATTATGTGTTCAGAGATCATAGTATGGCCACTCAGTGTAAAATCTTTGGTTAATCTCTTCCCACTCTCCCACCTCCCCCCTTCCCTCTGAAATTCATTAATCTGTTCCATGTTTCATCCCTGTGTGTTGAGTGTCTGCCCTCTGGTGGTCAGTGCCCATCATAGCTACCGGCTGAATGCTTGCTTAGGCTTTTATATATATAGATAACGAGTATGGAGTTGGGTTAGAGAAACCTTTGAATTTAGCATGTAATCTATCAAAGCTGTCCACAGGAGGGATGTTTTCACCAAACACTTTACTTGACTGATTAAATTATTGGCTACTAGTGACTGAACTTAATCTTCTCCAGCCCCAGTCCCTTTCCCCAGAAGTTGGGCGTGGGCATGGGGGTGGGGACTAAAAGTTCCAACCCTCTAATCATGTGGTTCCAATGGCAACCAGCCCCCAGCCATGGGTTACCTAGGAGCTTCCCTCATTAAAAGTCACCTCATTAAGGTAAGTAGAAACCTTTATCTTTCTTATCACTTAGGAAATTCCAAAGGGTTTAGGTTTGTGTCTAGAATGGAGGGAAAAAACCCAAATATATATTTCCTGTAAGAGATGATATCACAGTACCAAACCAAAATTTTTTCACATAACAGGTTTATTTTAGCAGCCCAGTTTTATTACATTCTACATATTTGTTTAATCTATTTCTCTCTGTTCTGCATAGGTGGCATATTTATTGACTTTAATAGTTGACTCTTTCATTTGCTATTTGCTGCTACCTGACCTGAAAGGTCAGGAGGATAAACAGAGCTCGCTTGGTGGAAACGTGGTGCAGCATTGAACTTCTCTGCAGAACTTTACTTTGATGTGGGCTTCAGTGCCAGCTTTTCTTCCTCTTCTTTCTCAAATCCTGAACAGACGAGAGATCTTCCCTTGGGATGGCGAGCACAACACTTACGAAGCTCTTGGATGACAGCCTGACACTTAGATTCCATGTAGTTGTTGGCTGAAAAACAGGCAGAATCTAGTCATGATCTCGTAGGACTAAGGCACAGGGGGTGTTTATAGTAGATCAATGCTTCCCACTCCTTTTTTACTTCATTATATGTACCTACAGCCGAAACCGGTTTGGCTCAATGGATAGAGCGTCGGCTTGGGGACTGAAAGGTCTAGGGTTCGATTCCGGTCAAGGGCATGTACCTTGGTTGCGGGCACATCCCCAGTAGGGGGTGTGCAAGAGACAGCTGATCGATGATTCTCTCTCATCAATGTTTCTAACTATCTCTCTCCCTTACTCTCTGTACAAAATCAATAAAATATATATATATGTACCTACAGACCCGGATGAAAGAGGATCTATCAAAGTCTACTGAATTCTTCGAGACCAGGGAGAAAAGTGTGGTTTAGAGTGGTGGTCAAAGGTATTTTTCTATATCATTTTCTTTTCTTTTAAAAAAATATATTTTATTGAATTTTTTTTACAGAGAGGGAGCGGGATAGAGTTAGAAACATCGATGAGAGAGAAACATGTATCAGCTGCCTCTTGCACACCCCCTACTGGGGATGTGCCCGCAACCAAAGTACATGCCCTTGGCCGGAATCGAACCTGGGACCCTTGAGTCCACAGGCTGATGCTCTATCCACTGAGCAACACCAGCAGGACTCTTCTTTTTTTTAAAATATATTTTTATTGATTTCAGAGAGGAAGGGAGAGAAACATCAATGATGAGAGAGAATCATCGATCGGCTGCCTCTTGCACACCCCCCACTGGGGATCGAGCTGCAACCTAGGCATGCGCCCTGACCGGGAATTGAACTGTGACCTTCTGGTTCATAGGTCGACCTCAAAGCTCAACCAACTGGGTTCATTTTCCTTAAGGCTGAGTTAACAGTTTATGTTCCTTGGTAGCTAATTCCTTTACAATTTGGTGAATTAGAAAAATGCGCATACCCTGCGTGTTATTTTGCATACAGTTTAAGGTAGCTGCTAGACCTTCCCTACCAAGTCTGTGCATCACAGGTTTGAAACTGCAGCCTCAGGGTTAAACCCTTTTTTACAGTTGTGAGCTAATAATGGTTTTTACATTTTTAAGGGGTTATAATTTGCTTGCCCTCCTTCCCTCTCTCTCTCTCTCTATTAAAAACCTCCTGGCCTCCAAAGCCTAAACTATTTCCTGTTTGGACCTTTATAGAAAATATTTGCAGACTGATATACATAGATCCTAAGTCAAGGAGGACTTGAACTAACGGTTCTAGATCAGCTTCGATTGACTTGAGTCCCTCGATACTAAAATGGGGTGCATGGGAGTTAGCCTGTGATAGGAAAGACAATTCTGAACACCCATAGCAGTGGTCGGCAAACTGCGGCTCGCGAGCCACATGCAGCTCTTTGGCCCCTTGAGTGTGGCTCTTCCACAAAATACCACGGCCTGGGCGAGTCTATTTTGAAGAAGTGGCGTTAGAAGAAGTTTTTTTTAAAATATATTTTATTGATTTTTTTAACAGAGAGGAAGGGAGAGGGGTAGTCAGAAACATCGATGAGAGAGAAACATCGATCAGCTGCCTCCTGCACACCCCCTACTGGGGATGTGTCTGCAACCAAGGTACATGCCCTTGACCGGAATCAAACCCAGAACGCCAGTCCACGGCCTGATGCTCTATCCACCAAGCCAAAACGGCCAGGGCTGAAGAAGTTGAAGTTTAAAAAATTGGGCTCTCAAAAGAAATTTTAATCGTTGTACGGTTGATATTTGGCTCTGTTGATTAATGAGTTTGCCGACCACTGACGCAGAGTATAATGGAGTTGCTGAGTCCAGGTTTGTAGCCACACCAGCGGGATTCAAACCCTCACTGTAACCCTTACTAGTTGTGTGACTCTGGGCAAGTTATGTAACTTCTGTGTTCATTTCCACATCTGTAAAATGGAGGTCACAGTGACATCTACCTCATGGATGAAATTACCAAATGACTTCATATGTTTAAAGCCCTTTTGGCTGTGATTGTCATGCAGGGAATGATTAATGCTAACTCTGAGTCCCTTCAGCCCTCAACCCTCCCACACTGTGGCAAGGGATGTAACCAGTTCTAACTGGATTCTTTTTTCTAAGTCATGGGTTGCTAGTTCAAATCAGTTTATTTATTTGGTAGAAATTAATTTGTGAAAAAGATTTTTCATTTCTCTTAAATTTGGAGAAAGGGATGAATAAAATGGCATTTATACATGAACACTTTGGATCAAAAGGTTTTACAGAGAATATTGCTTATATCATAAAATGGAAAGCTCAAGAATAGACATTAAAAAATTATACAAACAAGGATTTTCGTTGACGCTGAGTCTTCGGGGCTGATAAAAAGAACAACTGGTCTCTTGTAGTTGGTTCCCAGATAAAGTGGAAAATATATAAAAAAACATTGAACATAGTACCTTGTAAACATTTCTGTATTTCACAGGCTTGTTTCTGGCACGGATCCTTCTGCAGCATATCCAGTAAACTAAAATAAGAAAAATGATTTTTATTTTGCCTTTTATTTATAAAGACTTTAAAGCCCCTCTAGAAGGAATTTTCTGCAGAGACGAGCAGTATGCCCTTCCAATTGCTGGAAGACAATTACACTGAGAAATATTCTTCCCGTTCATAGGATGAATCAACTGCATTTTTTTTTAATAATATCCATTTCATTTGACTCGAAAGAGGTAAGTAGCTTTACATAGAAATAAAGACCCTGGAATTCAATAAATTCATCCTGAATATTGTAAACCGAAGTTGGGCTAGAGGAGCCGACGCCGTAGCCTGAAGGACTTGCCCACTGCCCAACTATCATTGCCAAAACTACCCTTGGCAATGAGCAAGATCCTTGAGCCTTTCCCCTTATTAATGTGTAAACTGGGTATCATACCTACCTCAAAGGATGGGTGGAAGAATTAAATGTGATAATGTACCCAAAGTGCATAGAATTGTGCCTGGAAGGCAGTAAGGATTTGCTACATGGTAGTTATTCCCGAGATTTTTAAAAAGCAAAACTAAGGGTTTTTTTTGCATATAAAGTGTTTTAACTATTTTAACTCAGGAAATTATCAGGCAGTAAATGCTTTCTTAGGGATCAGCAATATTTGGCCCTGAGATAAGTGTTAGTTTAGCAGCTAAAATGTCTTTGTTGTTGTTGTTTTGTGGTGTTGTTTTTTGTTTTGTTTTTTTGAACTCTTACAGAAAAAACTTATTTAAAATATCTGTAACCAGAGAATAATCTTAAGTGCCCACTCTTTTGGTTATTAGCAACGTCTCAGAATTTGAAGACACAATTTCAGAAAGAAAAAGGGCCAGGAGCCTTGGTAGCTAATTTCATTATTGCAAATAACCTCCTTTCCCCCCTCCCCGCCCTAGAGCTCCCTAATTTTTTAGTAGATCCAAGTGAGGTCAGTACTGGGATGGGAAATACTGGAGCAAAACCCAAGATATTTACAGGATGGGAGAAGGAAAGGCAGGTGAATTGCTGCAGGGCAAAGAAACGACCAATAGATGTTGATGCTGCTAGGAGCTGCTCTCTTCTCTCTAAATCAGTACCAAGTTCTTGGTGATCAGAGCATCTGTGGTGCAGCAGGTGCTGACTTTTGTGGGATTCATCCGATCCCAGTTCCGGCTGATGATGTCCATTAAAGGTTCTATGGCATTTTCCAAAGGAGTTGATTTCAAGTTATGAATCCTGACTACGGTAAGTGCTTTTGTGGACTCGCTTTCTGCCTGTGTGGCCCCCTCTCTGCAGTTCCACTTGCGGTGTTCTTCATGACCCTTCCTAAACTTCCGTGTTCTTGAGCGGTAGTTGTTCAGCCCACACCCTCCCCCAGGCCCACAGGGGGGCGCACTGCAGTGGTGGATGAAGTGATTGCCATATATTGAACGGGACAGAGGAGCATTTCTTCCTAGAATCCCAGCACCTGGAAAAGAATAGATCATTAAAATCACCACAACCGAACAGAGCGAGAGAGAGAGAAGACAAGAGAGGCAGCGGAGAAACAAAAATACATACCAGGTTAGTCATCAGGCAAAAGCTTAAGCAACAGCTCCTGGACTCCCCTGACCTGCCAGAGAAAAGAAAAGTTTAGGGAGTACTCTGCTATAAGGAGCCCCGATGTGATGGGAAATTAAGCAACATGTGTACCATTAAGTGATGCTGGATCTGCCACAAGCGAGAGTTGTTATCCATGTAGCGCTGCGCGGGGTAGAGTTGCCACATGAGAGGTAGCTGGGAGGTAAGGAGGTGACTGGGCCTAACTGCGTCACCTAAGGGAACCTGGACTTGCTGGATTCGGGCCCTTAGGAAGCTCGTCCCCTGGTGGAAAGAAACGACCGAAAAAAGAAAACCAAAGACTTTCAGGAGGCTGCGACTTGTCAGAAACCAAGTTGATTGAAAGCAAAAAAAATCAATAAAGAAATAAGCAAAAAAAACGGACAGTTACCTGTTCCACGACGGCCACCCACGTGCGCTGGTATTCGTCTCGGTAGATACCCTCCTGGTGAACCCAGAGGCGATCGGGTGGAGCCCCCACATCCTCTCCTGCCATTCTGGGCTTTGAGTTCCAATTCTAGCCCTGCTTTTCTCCACCTAAGCCTGCAGCGCCCGCGCACAGGACACAGGTGTGACTTGTTGGGTTTGCATGAACTCATCAGCGAGCAAGGTGAGCTGGCACTAGCAACCACCAACCAGAACCGGAAGCTCCCTGCGAGACACCCAAGTGACACTCGGGCAAAGCACTCGAGAATTCCGTTAGGGAAGGAGTTCTGTGGCAATGGAGGACTACCATTACAGGAAGCTGGGCAGTGGTCTCAAGCTTGCATTCCCAAAGCAGCGGCTGACAAAGTGTAGTTAGCAGCAGAATATGCGTAGGAGCGTGCCCAAGGACACACTTATTTGGGCAGGAATGCATTGGGCAAGACAGCCGTACGCCCCACTCCCCGTGGAAAAGCAGTTTGCCTTTTAAATTTTTTTTTATTTTATTGGTTTTTTACAGAGAGGAAGGGAAAGAGAGAGCTAGAAACGGCGATGAGAGAGAAACACCGACCAGCTGCCTCTTGCACACCCCCTAGCGGGGATGTGCCCGCAACCAATGTACATGCCCCTGACCGGACTCGAACCCGGGACCTTTCAGTCCACAGACCGACGCTCTGCCACTGAGTCAAACCGGTTTCGGCCAGTTTGCCTTTTAAAAGGTGATGCTAGGAAGGTGAATCATGTGCGTGGCTTTCTAAATTGAAATCAAAAGTTTGTTTTAAGAGCAAACGACCTATTTATCAGGTGACTTAGAAAGGTCTAGAAGCTGGGCACTTCCAGAAGGGGGGGAATCGTCTTAGGGAAAATAGTTAAGGTAGCTTCATGGAATTTCTGAGCTGCAAGAGGCTTTGGGACCATGGCGATTTGGAGCTGATGGGAGAAGATGATAAGTATCCACCTAGGTCCTTGTCATCTTAGGAATGCTTTTCAGGATGTCACAGGAGGCCATTTTTCCATACGAGTGTGGGTTCAAATTATGATTTCCCAAGTGGGGAGCCCAGAAAAGTCCCTCTGCCCTTCGAGAGGTATCGAGCAATCCCACCTCCTGGACCAACTCGTTACATGGGCAAACTGGGCTCAAACCCATACACCCTCTGCCCAGGCCTGGTCTCATTCCAGGGCCTCGCAATAGCTTCACCTGCACTTTGCACGGCACAGTGTTCACTTTCTTTCTACTTCCGGCAGAGCACAGGTACAATCCTGGGCATTTCCCCACAAAACCCAGGCCCCCGATTCCAACTGGGTTGCCACTGGGTGGGAAAGGAACTGCAGCACAGCGTGGGAAGTTGTTAAACCCTCCAGTGAGACTGTCCAGAGCAAAGGAGGTGCCAGAACACAGAGCGAACCATGCAGCCCAGGACAGAGTGAGCCAGAAAGGATTAAACGAGGCCCTTTGTTCAAGACCGACAATCTGAGCCTGATTTTTTTTTCTCTAAGCACTGTTAGTTTACCTTCCCTTAAAAGGAAAGTAGAAAATATCTTTTATAGACTTCAGACATGGTGTGATTTTAGTGAATAATTTAAGAACATAACCGTTGCTTTGCCCAGGGTACCCTGATGCTGAGGCCATTTGTCAGCTCCTGTCTTATAGGGCTCTTTCATTTCAAATGTCCTGTCTTACATGGTCCCCTTATTTCAAATTCACCTAAAGTGAAACCCCTTCTCCTTTAAAAAAAAATATATATATATTTTATTGATTTTTTTTACAGAGAGGAAGGGTGAGGGATAGAGAGCCAGAAACATCAATCAGCTGCCTCCTGTACACCCCCCACCGGGAATGTGCCCACAAGCAAGGTACATGCCCCTGACCGGAATTGAACCGGGGACCCGTCAGTCCACAGGCCGACGCTCTATCCACTGAGCCAAACCGGTTTCGGCAGAAAACTCCTTCTCCTTAACCAAATTCTGATTTCTCTTAAAGGCGACACCACCGCTCCGGTCCCTGCAGAAATTTACTAGTTGTCTTGAACCCTTTCACCTGCTTCAGTTGCTAACATGCGATCTGTCACCGATTCTGGGAAGAACCACTACCACTGCGTTTGAGATAAACTTTCTCCCAAACACTGGCTAATTTTAGCTCCATATCCTTGCTCTTGCTCTCACTTGCCTACAATGCCTGCTCGGGTCTCTGTACCTCAGTACTATTATGGCCGAGTGCAAGTCTGCCTTCGCCATAAAGACTTGCCCCCCAATGACCACTATAGCATCTAAGTCTAAACTCATAGGTTAGCCTCTAATTATATATTTCTTTGCACATTTTTTGCTCTGCTTATTTCACAAGCTCTGGCTCTCCCCAAATACGGTCCTTGAAGCTCGTCAGTAGCAGGAATCATACAGTACTGGGCATCCCCCAAGTCTCAAATATTAATCAAATAGATATCATTGTTCTGCCTCTCCTCCCTCTCCTCTATCCCGTGGCTTCGGAAAGGAGTGATACAAACAAAAACCCAGGGAATGCTAATATCAAAAGAAAATATATTCAAGTCTGGATTTTTAAGTACAAAAGAAGTAAGTGTGGCTACCTTTTTTTTTTTTTTTTTTTTTTTTTAAGTAGAAACCAAGTGTTAATGGGTTTCAGTACCATCTCGACTTCACAGATAGGTCCTAGCAACAACCGACGTTATTGACATTGAAATTTGTTTTGAAAAGCGAAACTGTACTGGTTACACTGGCACGTTAAGGAAATGATTCCAGTGGGCAAACAATTGGAGATGATGGTCTGGGTTACTATGAATCACTACAGAGGCCTATGAGTCATTACCAAATATGCTTGAAAAGCAGCATGAGGCAAGCCGGTTTGGCTCAGTGGATAGAGCGGTGGCCTGCGGACTGAAAGGTCCCAGGTTCGATTCCGGTCAGGGGCATGTACCTTGGTTGCGGGCACATCCCCAGCGGGAGGTATGCAGGAGGCAGCTGGTTGGTATTTCTCATCGAT